ATGATTGAGGTAGCCAGTCATCTTTAAATGCAAAAACAGATTTAGCACTGCTGTTAAGTATATATGCCATCTCTTAAACATGTTCTCCACATCCTATTTTAATTCATATAATGAATTGTTACAAAGTGTACATGAAAGCATTAAAACTTAAACACTGAATTTTTCAATGATACTTTTGAATAGCTTCCACTCTGGGAAGTAATTCGTTTGTTAAAGTTACATTGTAATGAATACTCCCACGCACAGATAAGTTTTTTTCAGAAATCTTTCAACGGAAGTTACTGTCATACCACTTCCTTGTGACTTTATCCTCAAACAATAATGTATAGTAATCAGATTTATGGTATGATGATATCAGATGTTTGGAAGCAATCGGCAGGAAGCCTTGGACCTAACTTTCGTGCTAATTAGCACTCGTCCATATTGGAAGATGTATAGATTAACATTTAGTCTTACAAAAACAAGTGTAAAAAGAAAGTCACCGAGGAGCTTTGCCAACAGAATGCAGATTCTTGCAAAGTGGTTTCTCACTGGGCAGACTAAATATATAATTTATTCAAAATTTTATCTAGAAACCATTACTAAAGACGAGAAAAATCGTTCATACGGGAAATTGAAGCGATAAGGGGAAATAATTTACCGAAAATGACAGTGACTATGCCATAATAGTAAAATCCATCAAGACATTTTATAAAATATCACAAAACAGCATCTATTCAACATACAGTTAAACCACTAAAATTCCATTAGAAGTTAAGCTTAAGTGACCTAAATGTTCTTCAGCGGTAGAATGTGTGCCAATCACTCACTTGATCCAATGTTCGATTCCCGTCTGGCATACTCCTTTACCTCACTTAATCTCATAAAGATTAAAGACTGGGTGTGAGACTAGCAACCCTGACCCGTAAAAACCGTAATGTTATTGAAATCTCAGAGCTTACGTTTTCGAATTCTTATGTCCCACTCGGAACGTAAACAAATAAGTGAATGACTTAAGTCGAATTCCATGTTGTTTACAAAATATGATTTGCTGACTACTCCTAAACTAAGATTAAACAGAGAATAACAACGATAGTGAAAAAATTCCAAAAAAAACAAGAAAATATTAATCAACATTGACTAGTTTGTGGAATGAATTAAATTTTAACATCTAGTGAGTCTGTCCTGTTATTTTAAATTTCATCATGAACAGATGGAATAAAACATCCGTAAGTTAATTCATACTATCCGATGTGCTAATTAACAACTTCAACAAATGTGACCAACAGCAAACTTCACCAAAATGGAAAACTGTCTTAGTTAAAAACTCGACAACTAGGAAATAGAAACGCCTTTTAAATAGGCACAGGTATAATAAGCGAGATTTTTATTTTGGAAACTTGTGACTACATGACTTAAACATTCTCAAGCATCATGGATAATAGTTTTGCTCAAACATTTTACTGGACTTAAAACTTATCATGTTACTTTCAGTGCAGATTTATTTTAAAAGTACTTATCGGCTTGAGAACTTCCACAAAATAGCTTATTGCTCTCTTAAATGGGAGGTTTATTTTGTTCAGAGAACACGAAGCGGAATGACTCATTTTCGAAACAACACTCGCTACTGTGGTGATTTATAAATTTTAAATGATCGATAAGCAGGCGTGTTCTTCGAATAAATGACTATAACACCTGAAAATGTTATTAAATTACTTTCCTAAACGTGCTTATTTGCTATTTTGAACTTTTTAGAAACAAAAGTCATGGAGTGTGATATACTCATCTTGACTGGATGAAGTAGATTTCCTCAAAGTCACTGGTGAGGGAAACGCTATACCACGACTCGCCAAGGTTAGAATTAACGTCCCAATTGGTTGATTGGTCAACAAGCTTGGTCCTGCAATTTGAATGTTCCGCGCTCTACCCCTGGTGCGGTCGTGGGTGAGTAGTGCAGGAGAGTCCCAAAACAGGACGAAACAGATGTCCAGTACTTCATAGTTTTCAATGACTTCCTTAAGTGATGTCAGTTCGTGACGACTCTACAATGAAATCAATCCAGATCCTTACAGAAATACGTAATCTAAAGAAAAGAAGATATTCAAGGATTTCAGCATCTTTTCTCAAACACGCGAAGGTCTTGAATGCACTCTAATGATTTTAATATTTAAGTAGGTATTTTTGTTAATTTCGAAAGCATATGTGGGTTTAAACTAAAAACAGAATGCAGAGTCTGAAGTACATACTCTCAAATCAAAACACATAACTTTAAAATTGTCTTGAGAAGTTAAAAGATTATAAAAACTAGATTTTTTTATATGCTGTAAAGTTACTCAGACAGTCGATGTTCTTATTTTAAAAAAAGTGTACATGTACCTTTTTTCTTCATATATCTGCTTTTATAATGACAGCTGCTTCAGAGTACATCAAACTATCCAAACACCAGTAAAACAAGGTTGTATTAAACAAGTAGATAACTCAGAATGATGTAATTTTCACACGTTTTAAGACTCAACCCTACTTCCTTCCGATAGACACGAGATGCTTATTTAAAGTATATAAGTCCATAGAATTATGGAAGAAAAACAAATGTACCAGGATAATATGGGCTCATTCTTTATTATTTTGTGAATTCTTCTCAACTGGCTAGACATTAAACAATTCGGAAACAATGTCGATAGTCATGATCCTATGTTACTTCAAAATTTCATTGTGTAAAAAGTGGGTTCAAACGAATAGTGGAGTTTATGTGATTTTATTGTTCACTTCCTGGCCAGCTGAGTAGAAACCGCGAAATAATACAGAATAAACTCATATCATTCTGGTATATTTTTCATTCTTGCTTTTTTCAAGTTTACTGGTGGGAAGGATTATATGAATTTCTATAGAATCAATTTAATAAATTTGAGGCCATTTTAAAACCGTCTGGTTTATTTTTTTCTGAAGTCACAGGACATGTAATTCAAAATTTGCCTAGCATAGAGTATAGCACATGTTTTAAATATGTATATATGGACGAAATATATTCATGAAAAAATTGAAACCAGAATTTTGGAAATATTATCTGAATATTGTTTCTTGGTGGTGTAACACCAGGGGTGTTTTTTTCTAAAAACAATATTTGAGAACATGTACACATACATAACTGTTATTTTTTGCAATGTATCAATGACCAAAGTATTCATGTCTAGATCTAATTATATTACATCTCAGTGCACAGTAGAATCACGTTATTCAGATGAACAAGAGTGCTGCATTTGGGATGAAATTATTCCTACCAGCGAGACAGTTAAGTTGATAATTAACCAGCTATCACTTAGCACAGATACATGAGTATATTAAATAAAATATAAATAAATTTGTGTATAAATAATAAAGGCGACCAAAAATTCTCAACGATGAAAGTAAGGATCAGTAAGAGAACACATACTCAAAGGTAATGGCTTAAATGATTTCAAGAAAACGACTTTAGTTTTATCTGGTAAATGAGACCATGGTTATGATGTGATCTTAATGAGAGAAAAACAATCCTAATTCATGAGAATAATGTTATTCTTCATGAGGATATTTCACTACTCATTTGAGTAGTTAAATAAGTATTAATTCCTCACATCAAATGGTTTTACAGGCATGACTATGAGCTATATGATTTTACTAATAAAATTTATTTAACTATCAAATTACAGACTTAATAGTTAGGCAGTAATGATTAGTAACGAGCATTCAGTCAGGCAGTCAGCTCTCTACCTCAGTTTCATTGAGTTTGAGAAGGCCTTCGACAGATTCCTACTACTGGGTACCACCAACAATTATACATCTCATCCAACAGTTGTACGACAATGCTGCATGCCAAGTAATCCACAACGGGAAATCCACGGAATTCTTCGAAATGAAGACAGAAGTAAGACAAGGCTGGCTGGCTGCCTACTATCTCCAATGATTTTCCAGACTGCGGTATACAGGATAATACGACAGACAGAGGGCAGCAAGGAAACAGGCATAAAATGAACCCACACAAAGAACTTGGAGGATCTGGATTTCGCCGATGATATTTGTCTGATTTCTCACAAACTGGAAGATATGCAAGTGAAAAGCAACAAGTTGGCAGAAGAAGCATCCAGAGAAGATAGGACTTCAGGTGAACATGGAGAAAACAGAGGTGATGAGACATCGATCAGCATAAATAGGAGAAATCTGAAAGAAGCAATCTCATTTACTTACGAACCCACCTGGGAAGCATCGTTTCAACTACAGGCGGACGGAACTGATGAGGATATCAAAGCAAGGATCGGGAAAGCAAGTCAAGTTTTCATTTCTCTGAAGTCTGTGTGGAGATTAACAGTACTCAGCATGAAAAATAAGATCCGGATTTTCAACTCCAATGTGAAGTCATTGCTACTATACGGATCAGAGACTTGCACTGCGTGTCACGAAGGGCACTTCGAGGAGGCTACACACCTTCATCAACAGGTGTCTTCACTCAATACTCCGCTCAAGATCAGATGACCGGCCAGAAGAGATCAGCAACAGGGATTTCTGGCAGCGTACCAACCAGGAACCAACTGTGCATTGATAAGCAATAATATATTTTCTACTCTCAAAGATATTAAATCAATTAATTCGCCCTAGAAATTCACTGCAGCATAAACAGAAAGCTTCCTCTCATACATTAACACTTAATGTTGCTGGCTTTCGTCATCAACACAGTGAATCACTTAACTCTGATAATTACGTCCACCAAACACAGAAGGCAAATCTTTTTATCAAACGACTTCTAAAGATTGATTTTTGAGGTAGCTGTAGAATTAATTGAAAAAAAAACTGAAAAAAGAATGTTAGCGAAAGAAAACCATGTGTAGCTGAGAAATTTTCATTGAGCTATTAAAAATAATAGTAATAATAATCATTACATGAAAGTAGAACTGCTCACTTATGTACAAAATAAGAATTGAAAATACAAACCTAAGAGTGCTTATCTGTTGATAATACAATAATTTTATGTTTTCATGCTGTTTCTGTAATTAAATTTCATCACAAATGTCCTTCACTTTTATGCCTGACAATTCCTCGTTAACGTAAACACTTTCATCTTGTTGTTTACAGCCAGTGTTGTAATTTCCAAGTTGACTATGATTGCATCCATGACTGTGGTGAGGAGGATGTCGATGACGGGAACTTCCATGATGAATGTTACGATTATATGGATATGCACAATGATTAACATGTAGAGAGTTTTTGCAATTATTCAGTGTACTAGGTGGTTTGAGTTTATCATTCTTTGTAATGTTATAGGCGACTGGATGAAATTCAGTCTGTATAACTGTTACTGAACTCCCTCTTAGACGATTGTTATTATTATTATTAATATTATCGTTATTATTATTACTAGCGCTATGATTTGTATTATTATTAAATGGACATAGACAAGTGAACATTCGATTCAGGTAAATTCGAAAGCCTGGTAAACCAATAGCATATATCATAATATTAATTATTGAATCAAAAGTCAAAAGTAGATCTGCAACAAGTTTTGCTAAATGAAAATCAATCATAACAGTAGTATAATGCTGGATAATAACTAGTATAAAACTTGGTGTTTGAAAGCACAGAAATGAAATTGCTAGAAATAATATTGTTCTAGTCGCTTTCATTTGATTTCTTCGCCGGACATTGGTAACTTCAATAATTTTAGAATCACGCCATGGTGAAACATAGAATGATATAATAAATGACATAATTAAAACAAATAAAGTTGGCGCAATTACCTGAAATACAAAAAAACAGTAAGCCTCGTAGTTACTGATCACATTTTGGTCTAGTAAAGCATCCATATGTGTAATGGTTATTGTTTTTTTGTCATTAATATTAGATAAGTCCGATTTCATTGTACTCAGCTGATCTGAGGTTATATCAGTTAACTTTGTACTTACACCATCTAAATAATCATCTGTAGGAACACAAATAATTGCATAATCATAAAATGCACGTACAATTCCTAGAAAACCAGATAAAATCCATAAAAATCCGTATATTAATTTTATTGATGAATGAGACAGTAAACGACGTTTACGCATTGGATAAACTACAACTTCTGTACGAGCTGAAGTGATCAATACATTACACCAATTCCGTGTGCATAAAGAGCAATCAGATCCCCAGTTGATTAAAGCAAAGAATACAAACTCTGTGACTGTTATCATTCGTGGACCCGGTGATGAAGCTATCAGATGAGTAGTATATTCTATACAAACAAATGAATGAAACAGTACTTCAGTAGCTGATAATACTAGTAAACTTGTTCGCATCACTGATTTTCTATGCTGTCTTGTAAATACTGAAATGCATAATGTGTTTAATATTAAGGCAATTATACTGAGGACTAAAATTGGCAGAGAATATTCCAACTTTGTGACACCTGTTGAACTTCTATTACCAGAACATGTTGCATTATATTCAATCCACAAAGCACCATCCAACATGTTCTTCTGTATAAAAATTTTTAGAAATAATTAAGTTTCATGCATCAGTAATCATTGAAATTATTATACAAAACAATATACTCAAGAAACAGAAAAATAAAGTATTTCCCAAAACTATATGATTGGTCGGTGAATTGTCCAATATGAATGAATGATATAAAATCTTTGTAAAAGCAAAACGCAAAAGTAACGAGTAGGAAATTAGCATAAAATAATCAGAGAAATGAATAATCTCAAGTTTTACGACGATTTGAAAACCAGGGAGTACTGAATAGATGTTTCGTCCTAATATGGAACTCATCATCAGTACTCACACATTAGAGTTCAAACTCTGGACCATTCAGCCAATGGGATCCGACTCAGTGGCCAGACCATGAATTCTAACTTCTGCCAATTCGTGATTTGTAGCGCGACCACCAACCAATGCAATCGGCGATTATTTCTCCTCACTTCCACCTGGATGAACCCCAAATGTCACGACTACTAATTAGAACACTGGGCAACTTCGTACTGTAGTAAGTCACTGGCGAGCACCAGGTTAATCCATAGTCAAACTTGAAACAAACTAAACCCCCATAAACTAACTGTTGAAAATTAACCTGAGTTGGATCCCATTGGCTGAATGGTTCAGAGTTTGAACTTTAATGTGTGAGTACTGATGATGAGTCCTATATTAGTACGAAACATCTATTCATTACTCCCTGGTTTTCAATGTTTCTCGAAGTGATACCAATTCGTGACCAAATTTGGAACAAATCAAATTCCTACAAACTAATGCTTGAAAATATACCGTTTTACTTAACTTCTCAAATAAGAGCTATGACAAATAAGATTCCACTTGTAATTGTTTTTATGACATTTAATTGAGATATAATAAATTCCTGTTGAATTTACTACCATCAGCTGGTCACAAGAACTGCAATTATCATGAGTGTTGACTTTCTGCTGTTATCTTTAAGTGCGATTGAAGCATAAGCAACTTAAAAATGCCCGAAATCCACATTTTTAGTGATATTTAATCGATATATTGCCTGCCATACACAAAGCTAGGTGATTTCCATTGAAAATAAAATGAATGTTTGAATAGCGATCGGGTTGTTTTTCACTTATTTGTGTTTTATACGGATCACAGAGGACAGTTATTGTACGCATTTCTGAACACATACTGAAGAACCTGAGACTAAAGGATTCACAGGCATTAAAGATTGCGATCGAGAACAATCTATTGAACACTGGCCATGTTCTGAACAATCTGGAGGCGTTCAGAATAATCAACAGCCAGAAGAAACCTAGCCTCTTACGTTTTGCTAACGCAATATCCATCAAATGTTGAAAACAAAATCTATGTAAGCAGAAAGAGACAATGGTGAATCTTCCACTGCCTTGGTGATAACAAAGCATACAAATTTTATTACAACATCTCCTCTACTGTTTAAAATATTTTATTCTTTTAACTAAACACGACTCAGCCTACCTCCCTTTTTTTCATTTCATAAAAATATACTTTCTGGAGTTACGTAATCTATCAAATTGATATGCGTCGGTGGCACAGTGGTTAGGACTCTCGCCGACCATGCACATGGTCCGGGGTTCGATCCCTTGCCAACGCACACCCAATATCTATGGTAGGCCTGAAAAATTTGGGCTACCAATATCCATGCTGAAAATTCCATGCTTGTACTGAAAATACGGTGTGGAATCAAGCTGTAATCAAAATTTTTAAAAAATAAAATAAATAATAAATTAATTATTTTTGATTGGACACTAGTCAGTAATTAGTGTAATGTGTCTAGTCCTATCTGTGGTGCAGACTGAATTCTATCAGTCAAGTTTGCAATGTGGCCACCATTCTAGGTGGCTCGCCATCATGGTGCACTGTGAATTGTTGGTATTAGATGGTTAGAGGGACATGAGTTCCTTCAGGGTTGCAGATACGCCCTGCTGACGACTGCCAACTAGCACGAAACCTAGGTCCAAGACTTTCTGCCGATTGCCTCCAACCATCCAATACCACTAAGTTTTATTTCTATCCAGAATATTTGCTGAACTCTGTCTTCTTGTTTCCAAGCATATTCGTCAAATTATCTTATAAATATTCAATCCTTATAACTCATAATCACTTTAAAACTTACTTCATTCTGGACTTATGTTAATCATGAGTCCCTGCCAAGTGCTCCTTGTCATCGCGAAAAAAGAATGTTCAAATCTTTTATACAATTCATATTTTTGTATTCTTCAGGTTATAGTTAGCTGAGAAAGATCCTGAAAATAATAAAAGATGGGCTCATATTATTCTGGTACATTTATCTTTCTTGCTTTGTTCGAGTTTGTTAATGGGAAGGATCATATGAAATGTTATTATTATTATTTTTGTACTTCGCAACGACGGAGAAACAAAACAATGTTGTTGTCACTGAAGTTAAGCCGTTTAATGTTAATTCAGTGGTAAGTAGAGAAGGATGCGTTATCCTAAGCTATGATATCAACTCAATATGTACTTGCTTTCCCACTGCTGAAAGTTTTTACATCCCTTTCACTTTACTAGAATTGGATACAGTCACATCAGAAAAATGTCCAGTGAACACCAGTGAGATTATAAAAGCCTTAAAGTTCTGTGCGAAGTCTACTTATCCAACATTTAAAAGAGAATTATGTAGTTAGACGAATAAGATAGTCATCAGTTCACCAGCTGCACCAATAGTTGCTAATGTTTTCATGAATAAGTTTGACAAGAACATCTCAAACATACTTCAACTAAAAATATCACTAAGATACGTTGACGATACCTACTTATCAATAAAATTAGACCTGCACAGTTCATTCTTAGAAAAAATGAGCAATCAATCTCCCAGCATTACATTTACTTTGTAAACATTATAGACTGACCAGTTAAACGGAAAGTGAACGGGTACTCTAACATATCTCTATTCAGGAGGAAACCATTCGTTAACAAATGTTTTCACTGCGAATCCTCACACTCCATTAGATCTAATGATATCACTTGTCTCAAGTCTTCTTAGGACAGCACATTCTATGATAATAGATGGGAAGGATTACAAAAGAATAAATATCAAATACAACCGAAATTCGTAGGAAAAATAACTATCTAAAGAATTTTACTCAGAAAGTCAACACCGACAGCAAACATGACTTAAAACGTGAACAAAATAGTTGTTATTCCAGTACAAATCGGACCAATTAGACCAGATCAGAAGAGTACTTAGTTAACGCAGCATCGTAGTTTTTCACAAAATATCAGACGTGCTAAAAAGAAACCTTGTTTATGCAAAAGGATTCTGAAAGATTCATTGTATAGCCATGTCGACAAAGTATAAAGTTTAGAAAACGTGATGCAATATATATATATTATGGACAAACCCATGCAGAAATGAAAGTCAGAAGAAATGAACACCATAGAGCCCCTATTCCACCACTGAGAAATCCAACAGAACTTGAAAAACTGTCGGCTATAAGTCTACACGCTACAGAATCAGGCCACAAGACTAATTTCGGTAATGTTGAAGTCCAACCATCTAATATCATCAAATCAATGTGCACCGTGATGGTGAGCTACCTAGAATGGTGGCCACATTGCAAACCTGACTGATAGAATTCAGTCTGCACCAAAGTAAGGACTAGACACATCATAGCAGTTACTAGTGTTCATTGAAAGAATGTTGAAGTCATTCAGAAAAATTTCGAAAATCACAATGGACGTCTTGCATGAGAAGCACATCACACACTAAATGGAATCAGAATTGTTGTTGGAATAGGAATGATTAATCGAGATAGAATTAGACTTGGTTCCAATACTTCCTTCCTCGCACATGAAGTGCCATAACACGTGTGATAAACATTCTCACTATATAAAAATACATGTGATTTTTATAATTCATACATTTACCATATCCACTAGTCTGCACATGCTCTATGAACTTTACCAATTCATATCCACTTGACAGCGTAAAAATTACCTCACGCTGAAGAACTATGATTTAGTTACTGTATATAAGCTGAGGTTTTGTATATTATAGTTTAATATTACTTTGACAAAGCTATTAGCACTAGTTAGCAAAATGTCAATAAAGGTAATATCATTATCTTCTTAATTCATTGGAAAATGGAGAACAATATAATAATAGTGAATATTATATGCTCATTGACAAAAGTGTTTGAAACTATTAAATCTGAACTTGTTGCGGACATTTGGTTCACAGATTATTTAGAGGCACTTACCATGTACAGATAGAAACAACTGCTTTTTCTAAATTAAGCTACATTCTATTATATATTTGCTGGTCATTATGGAAAGATTAAGAAGTCTACAAGTTAGTGTAATGGTCAAATTAGTATTAATCGTTAGCCTGAATCAAGATACTAATTTTTATTGAAAATACAGTCAGTTGATAACAGGTGACACCTATCCAAACAGCCGTGATAATCTCAGCTGGATAGATTCATATATTTAAAAATTAACAGGTTCATCCCCAGTTCAGTGCAAAAATACTTTATTTCGTAACATTTAGAGAGAGTTTCAAAGCAGATTTGAATCAACTTAAGAGATACTCGAATGCCTTACTGCTACTTTATTGCGACATCAGGCTAAATAGAAGTCAAACTTATTGAGTGAAAATCTTTATAGATTGTATGGTAGACTAATCCCAATAAGCTCAAAAAAAGTAATCCATTTTCATCACCTTTAGTATATTTTGTCAAGCAACAGGTTCCGGATTGCTTCGTTCCCAGAATCCCTTTTGATGAAAGTCTATCGTCTGTTGGGAATGCATTTGGTGACGTGCCACATCTCTGAACCATATAGAAGAACTAACTTGACATTAGTATTCAAAATTCGAATCTTGTTCATAGTGCATGGTGCTTCAGATTTCTACACTGAAACCAGAGTAATGAAAGTCTGTCTTCCTTTTCCGACCATGGCTTTGACATCCTCGTTCGTGTCGCCTGTAGTCGAAACGATGTTGCTTAGCCTGGTAAGTGTAAGA